ATTTTAAGTATTTGATTTTATGATCACCCTATAAATTTACCAAAAGTATATTCATTAAGTGTTCCTTTTGTTTTCTCAACTATTAGAATTTCAGTTTGGTACTTTCATTTGATTCCAGTAGTACTTGTGTGCACATGTACATACGTGTATGTGCATGTGTGGGAGTCCTTTCAGGAATTCACAGAATGACAATTATATTATTACCTTTCATGGGAGCTGAGATCATCACACATTATATTGCTATATACGTTATACTACATTCATACATTTCATGGTACGTATTAAATTATATTATTACTCATATTATATTACACATATATTACTCTATTGCCTGGTAGCTAATGTAAGTACACTGATACCTAAGGCCATCCAGGTACAAATTATGTTTAACTTCAGGGACTTGAAGAAAGGACATGATTTGGTTCAAAGTAATGAGAAATTTTCTAAACTTTATCATTTGGCCAAGAAAACAATTTTAGCTTTTCCATTTCCTACTAATATGTACACTTGTATAACAAAGTTCAGAGCTGAACTACTGAATTAAAACTTGACTTACCTGTTCTCCATTTAAGCGGTGAGCCTCTACCAACTCAAGAAAGATTGATAAACGATGGTTTGCATCAACTTCAGTTTTTCTGTGTTTTGATTTTGAGGAAGCTCCAATTCTCCTCATTCCTGGTAAACTCATTGCCATATGCAGGGTTTTAACTGCTTCTGCTATTTCTCCCATTTTCTTTTGTGACTGAGCTTTTATCAAATGATACAAAGGGCATTCTCTCACCTGAAAAAATAATATTCAGAAATACTTCCTTAGAATATACATACAACATCAACACGTAATTTACAATCCACCAAACATTAAAATAACAGAATCTCTGAGGACACTCAGCCTGTATTATGTACCTTAGGTCTATTTTTGCCCTCTTATTAATTTTCTGATCATTTACTGTGTGATACCAGATTCAAGGAAACTGCCATTCTCTAGCATCCTTCTGGATGACAAAACAGGTGATGGGCTTTTACCATGATAGAAGAGAAAATACTTTAAAAAAAGACTAGCCAATATATTCTTTTTAAAAAAATTTTTTTAATGTTTATCTTATTTTTGAGAGAGAGACAGAGAGAGAGAATGAGTGGGGGAGGGACAGAGAGAGAGGGAGACAGAGAATCTGAAGCAGGCTCCAGGCTCTGTGTCAAGCCAGAGCCCGACATGTGACTCGAACCCAGGAATCATGCGATCATGACCTGAACTGAAGTCAAACGCTTAACTGACTGAGCCCCGCAGGTGCCCCAAGGCTAGCAAGCATATTCTAAGAAATTTAGTTTTCAGGCAAGGCATTTATCTGGGACTTCTAGTACTGATATAAAGTCATTAGATTTCTAGAAACACAGTTTTTCCCTTTTCTTCTATTTTTTAATTTTAGGATTAAAAATTTCAGAACATTTTAGTCAAACTTGGTGTTACCCCCGATACTACTCTGAAACCTGTAGCAATGAAGCTTCTATCTTTATTTTGGCTATCCAAAGTGTTTACAGAAAAAAATAAGAGAATGACAAAATGAATGAAGAAGGAGTCAAAGGAAGGAGATGATCCAGAATGAGGCAGTGTGGCAGTCATCTAATGTCTAGGATGGCTACAATTGCCCTGGAGGCTGCAGCTCTAAGCCTTAACTAGGCATCACATTTGCTGATGGGCTTTGTGTAAATTTACTCATGCTTCTATTCTCTCTGAGATTTCAATTTCTTGGGATAGGGTACTGGCATTGGGGTCATAATGTACCACCCGTCTTGAGAACTAGTAACATAAGAAGCAGGCACTGCCTTCTGCAAATCTTGAATTATCCAGTCCACTGAAGGGTCCTCACATAATAGGGTTCAAGACCCTGTGAACTAAAGCCAAAGTTTGAGGAGCTCCTCCATGATTCTAGGTAGTTAGGAAGCACCTGAACCTATGATTTTCCCCAATGCTTAGAGATATGGGATGTAACACAGAATATCTTGGATAGAAACCTAGTGTGTTTATATCCTCAAACCATATATGAACTTTCAAAATGACTAGGTGTTCTTTGATGATGACTCTAAAAAGATGTTATTAAAGCCACAATCCAAGAAAGAAAAAAGCAGTAAAATAAAGTTCTTACACATAAAAATATTTGGCATAATGTTCTATAGCTTACAATTATTTTTATATACATCCATTATTGCACTTAATGTTCATTATAACTGTAGGGTGTTATTATATGAGTTTTATAGAAAAGAAAACAGGTTCAGAGAGAGGTAAGTGACTAGACACTGACCCCCCAGGTATTCTGTGTCCAACTCCTTACAGTTTTTTAATTATACCACAGCTGCCTCCATGTTTTCTCCCACTGCTTGTGAATCCAAACTTGTTTCCATTAAAAATACATTTATTAGCAAAATATATAAGCAAAAATGCAAGATAGCTGAATATGTAAGTATCTGCTAAAGGTTCAAGGAGGGTGATATGTCCCTTCCCACATGAATTTGGAATACTTACCTTAAAATTATAGCTCAGGCAAAGTTCAAGTGACTGAGAACACAATTTGAATTTTTCCTGAGACAAATAAACCTGAGCTATCAGGAGATGCGCATCTGCATAAGAAGGATTGTGTTCTAGGCAATGCTGCAGGTAATTATAAGCTGCTTCAATGTCACCTAATGACAGAAACAAAGCATTGTAATTCAAATGGTTAAGAGACAGAGATGTGAGGGGCGCCTGGGTGGCGCAGTCGGTTAAGCATCCGACTTCAGCCAGGTCACGATCTCGCGGTCTGTGAGTTCGAGCCCCGCATCAGGCTCTGGGCTGATGGCTCAGAGCCTGGAGCCTGTTTCCGATTCTGTGTCTCCCCCTCTCTCTGCCCCTCCCCCATTCATGCTCTGTCTCTCTCTGTCCCAAAAATAAATAAACGTTGGAAAAAAAAAAAAAAAGAGACAGAGATGTGAGAGAGAAGAGGGTCATGAGGAGTTTATGGAGAGTTCCAGTATTTAAACTAAAGTTCTCTATTCATAAGGCAGTATAACCTCTCTACCTGTACCAGGTAGCTAGCCTCCTTCTAGACTTCATGAAAGGATATACCTGTAAGCCCATAAGGAGCTCCATAAGGAGCAAGGCAGAGAAAAGCTGTGAATGGATGGATCAGGGTCCATTACTGTTGTTACCGAGAGGACCATAAATGTACCTTTATTTATTTTCCTGATCAAAAAAATTTTGCTTACAATTTTATTACAGTAAGTTTTGCAAAACATAGACATTTAAATAGGTAGAATTCTGTAACGTCTCTTACATTAACAAAGAAGATCTAGTCTTGGAATCATTCTTGGCTAGAAATTTTATCACTGTATATAGAATAACAAAAAAAGCATAAGGATATATTCCAGACGTTCAGAAATATGAACTACTGATTTAATATGCTTTTAAATACCAACTGAAATAGTCAGTGTTTTGGGCATACACACTCTGTACATCTGGGGGTCTTAGATGGAAGAAATGATCAAAATTAAAGTGACAAGAATGGGTGGAATCTGTTAGGCTCGGCTGGTACTTGGGGTCAAAAGAGGCTCTTCAGAGAAGGAAGGACATGAACTCTAGGTCCCAGAAGAACTTTCTAGTGATGTAACCTACAGTGATCTGCCCAAAGCCATCTCATAGACTGGCTTTAAGTAGTAGATATAGGAGCCCAACTCCCCATTCAACCTTGTTAGGAGCATGGGGGAAGGGCAAGCCCTAAATTATTCTCTGTTCCATTACTCTCCTTAACCTTACATGATACCTCAATAGACCAAATAAGACTTACACTTAGGGCTTCCCGTTCCCAAAGGCCTAAGCTACCAATGACAAAATCCACATAAACAGAAAACAGTTTTCTTAGAGACAGAGTAACTGGCTGAGGCTGCACAATAACTTAATAAATATAGTATCAAAATTTGTCAATCAACCATCAAACATAATAAATAATATTGGATTATTTTTTGTTGTGATAAGATCTAACACTCAAGAATCGAACAGGCAGAAAAGGAAATGGAAAGGTTAAGGATAATAACTTGGTGTGCAAATTACCACCTCCATGTAGAAGAATTAAGAAGATAACCTGGAGGTTACTGCTAAGGGGGAAAGTACACAGGAAAAGAATCAGGATTTATAAATAAGAGACTGAAGAATATGAGGACTGTATGAATAATTGAGATCAGAATTTTTATTGTTTTGTTTAATGGTGATGAGGGGGAAAGATGTGTGGAGTTAGTATTTAGAAGGTCACTAAATATTTAAAAATGAGAAATGGGTAATCACTGTTGGGGAAAATAGCCATATAAACAAAGAACACATCAACATCACATTTTTATCGAAGAATAGCCCAATTTCCCTTAAGGATTAAATGAAAGATATTTCTGTCCTACATGTATCTCTTTGTTAGGGTCTGGTGTAACACAGAATTTGGCTGGTCTTTGTCCCATTTCCTGGGAAGGAGTCTTGAAATCATAGAATTTCCCAAGTGAGAGGGAAATCTTTGTTGTTTGAGGTCAGCTCTGATCATTTACCTAAGTGAGAAGACTCATGGTAAGGCCCTAGATAGCTTATGTTAAGGAGATGACTCCACGGGGACTATCCCTGCCAGAAAGACCAACCAAGTACTTAGAGGGTTGGGGCTTTGAACTATGTTTTCTACTTGGACTGGGGAGCAGGATCCTGGAGACTGAGTTCAATCACACACCCAATGATTCGATCTGTGCCTATATAATGAAACTCTAATAAAAACTCTAAACCTGAGTTGAGTTTCCCTGGCTATTAATGTTCTTTATGTATTGTCATATACACATGTGTTGGAAAGTTTATGCGCACTCTATAGTGTACAATGGCAGCCTCACATTTGGGACCCCCCATACCCCACCCCGTACATCTCTCTCTTCTGCTGGTTTGTATTAGTATCTTTTTTTTAAACTAAAACTCTAAGTGGTTTCCTCAGTTCTATGAGTCATTCTAGCGAATTTGAAGCTGAGGAGTCATAGAAACCCTGAATCTGTAGTCAGCTAGTCAGAAGTTCAGATGGCCTTGGCAACTCCTGAACTTGTGGCTCATGTCTGTGCCCTTAACCTGTGAAGACTGGTCCAACTCCAGGTAGTTCTCAGGTCAGAAGTCATTGCATTTGGCAATTTATCAGGATACCGTTATTTGGACACATGCCAGCGTTACTTCAAATGGTTTAAGGCTGCTCTTTTTATTTTATTTTTTTAAATTTTAATTTTTTTAATGTTTATTTATTTTTGAGACAGAGAGAGACAGAGCATGAACAGGCGAGGGGCAGAGAGAGAGGGAAAAACAGAATCTGAAACGGGCTCCAGGCTCTGAGCTGTCAGCACAGAGCCCGACGCGGGGCTTGAACTCACGGATCGTGACATCATGACCTGAGCTGAAGTCGGACACTTAACCGACTGAGCCACCCAGGCACCCCAAGGCTGCTCTTTTTAAAAAGAGTGTCCATCTATGAGACTTTGGCAAGTAAGTAATACTATATTGAGACTGATTTATATCAATTTTCAAAATAAATAGTAAGTGTTTAATAAATTAATCACAGAACTCAAAGTCTGTTTAATCACCTAGTAGATAATACTGTTTCAACTGAGAAGAAAAGTAGAAATATCATGTGGCTCAATAGTAGAACTTAATCAGAAGAAGGTATTAAAAAGCCACTTCTTACATATAGAGTATTTTAGAGATACAAACTTTTGAGATCACCTAGTTCTTTTTTTAACAGTTAAAACTGAGGTCAGATAAATTATAAAGTCAATCTTCTCTCTCCATTACATACAAGAAATAATTGTTTACGGTAATATCTTTCAGCTGGTTTCTACTCTTAATGATTTTACAAACTTAATTTACTTTGTGTGGCAATTCATCTACCAAAGGTACATAAATATAAGCACCAAGAATGATCTATTATGTGTATAGTCACACACCTGTTTCTGTCCTAAAAAACTAAGGTTATAAACCTGGGGTTATTTTTTTTTTAGCTATACATAATCACAGAAACTAAGCAGGAATTAATCAACACATTTCATAAAGGCTTGAAACCTGGTAAACTTTGCATCTGGCTATACCAATGAGTCAACTATGGATTAATGGCTATGAATTCTTATTGCCATCTAAGTACCATCTGATGGACTTTTTTGTAAATGGTACAACTGCTTTTTCCTGGCAATTGACTTGAACAATGAAAATTTATGCTGATTTATAAAGAATTAAACACAAAATAATTTAATGCCATTTTACACAATCTTATTTTGGACTAAAATTATTTGTTTGTGCACAAGTAAAATGCATCTTATGTGACTATTCTCCAAGTATGTGGAGTACTTAAACATACCTTTGTTTTATCAGCATCAGAACTAAAAGGTTAATTTAAGTTTTTAAGTTATATTCTACCTGATAAATATTTCACTTTTGCTATAAGGAAGACAGCTTGCAGTAGACCTGGTACAGTTCTTACTATAGTCTCCAGGATTGAGGTACAACGTCTGAGAAGTGGAGAAAGAGGTTGCCCAAGACTTGCAGGCTAAACAAAACAAATTAGCACATCATTTTATAATTATATTAGTATTTAGCTACAAGTAAACAAACATACTAAATTTTAGTGTAACTAGCAAAACTACCTATTTTCCCAAAATTTCTCTTATTCTATTTTTGCAATAATATCTTTCCTATAACATGACTAATACTAATTTATCCCCTTGGGATGTGTGAGCAGACCATGTAATGGCTTTTATTCAGCAAAACGGTTATGAGATTATTACACAGTTACTGATTTGATAACATGAAAGGAGCCTATGTGTTCAAAAACTGTCAAGGAAACATACTCAAAGGAAAGATAACTGAGAGACAGAACTTCTTGCTGGAAATGAGAGTCAAGGCAATGTAGTTCTAATTCTAGACCTGCCTATGATTTACACAGTTCAGTAACTTGCATTACCCCCTAGAGTACTGTAAGTTCAGTTTCTAGAAAATTATTTTTCCTAGAAGTCAGAGGGTAGAACACACTCATGTGTATTATACCAAATGTCTCACACGTTCACATTCTCTGCTTCTCTGCCTGGCATGTCAAAGGCTTTCAAAGGATTTTTTTTCTCTTTTTATTAATACATAGTGAATATGGTAACTAAAACAGTATTAGAACATTTGTTTATTGTTTTAATGGCTGTCTACCCAACCAATCTTTATCCAAGGGTAACCCACTCACAAGTTACAAATGTGATATTAGTTTAAATATCAAACGTTTATTCTCCCTGCTTTGACCTACTGATGCTGTGTCCTTAATTTGAAAAATAATCTTCCCCATCGTCCCCCTACACTCCATACATATATACTCTTTTTTATTTTAAGTTTATTTTTATTTATTTCAAGAGAGAGATAGAGACCAAGTGGGGAAGGGGCAGAGAGGGAGAGATACAATTCCAAGCAGGCTCTCCACTGTCAGTGCAGAGCCCCATGCAGGGCTCAAACTAACAAACAGTGAGATCGTGACCTGAGCCAAAGTCAAGAGTCTGACGCTTAACTGACAGAGCCACCCAGGCGCCCGTCCACACATATATATTTTTAACTAGAGTATAGTGTCTTACAATCACTCCTACAATGAGACGTTACTACTGAAAAGAAACTACCACATCTCTTCACTATGTTGAGTCACAAAAAAATGTGCACTCAAAAATTATTTCAAAATATGACCACTGATGCCTACAATACATCAACTTCTTTAAATTTCTACAACACTTATAAGTTATGTAATAAAATTTAGCATCCTACATTATCTTATACAATTCCAAAGTAGTTTCATGTTTTGTTTTGCTTCTTTTATAGGGTTAGGGTCTTTATGTGCCTTGAAGATCAGAATTTTACACTCTTTCACATAGTATGAATACAGAGTAAATTCTTCAAAAGTATTTATTTTTTCAGTGTAACTGAAAACAGTGAAAGTGTAGGTGATATAGGTGGCAAAGGTTCTTTACCACCTGCTAAGAGTTATTTATTGAGAACAATCATCATTTTTGCTGTAAACACTTTCAGAGTGAATTGTATGTGGACAATCTCTAAAATAACATCTGTCTGATTAAAAACCAAATATAAAAGGGGCAAGGAACAGAACTGGAGAGGCAAGTCTGCCTTTCTGATATTTCCCCATGAAAACACCATTATGAATGTTAATTAGGTGCTGTCATACTGACAAAGGTTATATGGGGGGGGGTGGGAACACAAAATATTGTGGACTAGGGACACAATTGCCACTTAACACATTATTTCTTGCTCCACCTACAGTTAATTCTTAGCACAGCTGCCACAGAAATCCTTTTTAAATTACTGAGTCAGATGACGCTGTAAACCCTCTGGCGGCTCCCCACTGTACTCAGAATCGATGCCAGGGGAGGGACAACACCTCTAAGGACCTACGTGGTCTGGTTTCTCTGTTGTGACCTCCTCCTCACTCCATCCCTGTCACATTAGTCTCCTTGTGGCCTTTGGGCCACTGCACAACTGTTCTCTGTGCCTGAGACAATCTATACCATATCTCCACATGAACACCACGTTTTTGTTCAACTTTTACCACTTAATGAGGCCTAACCAGATCATCTTATCTAAAATTATCACCTAGGGGTGCCTGGGTGGCTCAGTTGGTTGAGCGTCCAGCTTCAGCTCAGGTCATGATCTCACAGTTCGTGGGTTCGAGCCCCGCGTCGGGCTCTGTGCTGACAGTTCAGAGCCTAGAGCCTGTTTCAGATTCTGTGTCTCCCTCTCTCTCTGCTCCTCCCCTGCTTGTGCTCTCCCTCTCTCTCTCAAAAATAAATAAACATTAAAAAAAATTTAAAAAAATTATCACCTATTTCTTCTGAGATTTTTCTAATACACCATATAATTGGTTATATTATCTGTCTCCTCCTGCTAGTTATATATATGCTTCATAGAGGACAAAGGCTGTACTTTATCCTTTCACAACTACTTCCCCAGCTCCAAGCAAAGTCCTGGGTACTCTACAAGCATTCATTGAGTGAATTCTGATTACTGCACAAGTACTGAAAAATGCATTCTAATTCTAAGCAACTGAAAGCACATTATGACAGGGAAGACTTGGATCAACCCTATTCCAGAGGGGTTAATTTATTATTATTTTTTAAGTTTATTTATTTATTTTGAGATACAGCATGAGAGGACAAGCTGGGGTGGGGGGGGGAAGTGGGGCAGAGAGTGGGAGAGACAGAATCACAAGCAGGCTCTGCACTATCAGCACAGAGCCCAACGTGGGGCTCGATCCCACCAACTGTGAGATCATGACCTGAGCTAAAACCAAGAGCCAGATGCTTAACCGACTGAGCCACCCAAGTGCCCCCCAAAGGGCTAATTAAAAAAAAAAAACAGATTTATACAAGTTTGGAAAATGACATAGTGATCAACAAAAGTCACATGGCTTCCCTAAAGAAAGGCCATTATCCTCATTTCCTTATTAACACAATTATGGAAGCTGTAAATCAGGGAGAATGCTAAGAATTATACTTTTAGCAATGAAACATCTGACACTTCCTGTTATGATATTCCTGTGTTGAAGCATGAGCTGAATATAACGTAAAGTCATCTGCTTACTGTCGTAATAAGAAAGTGCTGACTAACGGATCCACATCAGTTTGGAAACAACTCTCTGGTAGTTCAATAAAAGGCTCCATTTTCAGTTCTACTCAGTGCTACATAAGGCAGATAATGGATGACACTAAAGATCTGTATAAAATAGATGACAATCAGGATCTAAAATAATACGGTAATCTGGAATTATGAGAGGAGTCTGAGGAGATAAGGTTTCACAGGGATAAATGTAGAGTCTACAGTTTGGTCCTAAGTTACAGTGAATAATAGATCAAAAGACTTTAGTTAACTATTAATTCAATAGGAGTCGATAATATCGTATGATTCACAAAAGCAGCTAGAAGAACATCTAGAATTAGGGAGAAGAGGATCTGCCAGGGCCAAACCCACATTTGGACTAGTGACCTTAAGGAGAGCTTACTAACAGAAGAAAGGCTATCCTCAGGCCCAAGAGCAGGGTTCTAGCTATGTCATAAAAAATAAATGGCTAAAAACCTGGACTTGTTTAGGGAGAACATGAAAACTAATTTCTAAAATCTGAAGGTCTGCTTTATGAATGAGGAATAACCCTTGCTTTGGCTAAGTAACTGGACTTGCCTGTGCCACTTCAGAGAGCAGGAGGATGACCAGGACACAGGTGAATTTTTTTTAACATGAAGTTAAGTCTGATTTAACACAGGAAATGCAGTCTAACAGTTATAGTTATACAGTAAGAACTGCACTTTTGAGTGTACCCAAAGGTTGGATGGGCCCTTAAGATGCTATGGAGTGGATTCAGGGGTCCCTGGGTGGCTCAGTCGGTTGAGCGTCTGACTTCGGCTCAGGTCATGATCTCGTGGTCCGTGAGTTTGAGCCCCGCGTCGGGCTCTGTGCTGACAGCTCAGAGCCTGAAGCCTGTTTCAGATTCTGGGTCTCCCTCTTTCTCTCTCCTCCCCCACTCATGCTCTCTCTCTCTTCTCAAAAACAAATAAACGTTAAAAAAAAAAAAAATTAAAAAAAAAAGATGCTATGGAGTAGATTCAAGTATTACATGAATGTCTGACTTAAACAACTTCTAATATTTCTCCTGAAGTGAAGATATTAACATTCTATGAACTACAAGTGAATATTTATAAACCAATACATTACTTGATAGCAGTCATTGGCATAAATATTCTGACTTAAAAACTATTTCAACTAATATAGATACGAATACTACCATTGTAAGATGCAGATATAATCTAATATGTGAAAGACGATTTATTAACACATTCATAAAACACTGTAAATTATGTTGTAAATATTTTCATTGAAAAAAGTCCCAGAATTACTTACCTGCATTGGGCAAAAATTCAGATATTCTGTAATAATTTCTAGTAAGAAATCAGGATTTAAGTTCTCAAAATATTGTATGCCAAGTGGTAAATCTTCTAAATGTGAAAAATGAGTGTCCAGAACATCATTTAACATATTAATAACTTCTTCTTGTCGCTTATTTTTCTTCATAGCAAGAATTGCATGTAAATAAATTAATTCCTACAAATTAAGCAGTTGCCATTAATTATCCCATTCAGTTGTAAAGCCATTTATTTCTACTTAGATTTCAAACACATATGAAGTGCTATTTATGTGCAATATTTACTCAAATTTAAGTATTAGCTTGGACAAACTTTTAGACTCTTTTTAAAAACAAAATTTTTTTAATGCTTATATATTTTTGAGACAGAGACAGAGCACGAACGGGGGAGGGTCAGAGAGAGGGAGACACAGACTCTGAAGCAGGCTACAGGCTCCAAGCTGTCAGCACAGAGCCTGATGCAGAGCTCGAACTCACGGATTGTGAGATCATGACCTGAGTCGAAGTCGGACGCTCAACCGACTGAGCCACCCAGGTGAGCCAAACTTTTAGACTCTTATACAAGATTACTTAAAGTCTAATTCTGCAAGGAGGTAAGTTAGTAAATGCAATCATACATTAAAATTATCATATATTAGTCTTTTAAAGCCATTACTATTACTAAAAAAAATTTCATATTTTATAAACAGTAGCTAGGATCTATACGATCTGATAAAATAAAATACTGTACCGCAGATTTTCCAATAGACTGCTGAATTTCACTAAGGAATTCGAGCTGCTGATCTGCATCCTGTAACTGCCCTTCTATTAATTGACATCGGATAACTCCTAAAGCCAAACAGGACAAAAATAGTCAAAGTCCACATCCATTCAGGTATGTACACTTCAAGCTAACAACACAAGGATTAATAAAATAGGTTTTTCCCCCCCCATAATATATTAAAGTATTGATACATTATAATAAAATACAATAAAGTCATAAATACTACATCAGATTTAAAAAAGAAGAAAAAGAGAATAAAAGGAAATAAAATTGCCAGCTTTGTACCTATATAAAATCAGTTACTAAGGACTTCAGAATTTATGGGAACTACCCCCATAAAAGTTTATTATCGCAAGATACTACATAAGAAATGAAAACTTTAGGGGCACCTGGATGGCTCAGTCAGTTGAGCATCCGACTTGAGTCGGTTGGGCATCCGACTCGAGTCGGTTGGGCCCTGGGTTGGCCTCTGTGCTGAGCATGGAGCCTGCTTCCGATTCTCTCCCTCTCTCTCTCTCTCTCTCTCTCTCTCTCTCCCTCTACCCCTCTCCCCAGTTCATGCTCTCTCTGTCTAAAACCAAGTAAAATTAAAAAGGGGCGCCTGGGTGGCTCAATTGGTTAAGCATGCGACTAGTTTCGGCTCAGGTCATGATCTCAGTTTGTGAGTTCAAGCCCCACGTCTTGGGATTTCTTTCTCTCTTCCCCCCCTCCAAAATAAACATAAAAAAATTTTTTAAAAATGAAAACTTTATTTTTAAAGATTTATGTTTTTTTCTATTGTGGACAGTGGAGGACAGTTTGATTTTAGAAAACTACAACATATTTCCTTCTTTTTTATTTTTTAATTTTTTTTTTTTTTTAACGTTTATTTATTTTTGAGAGAGAGAGCATGAACGGGGGAGGGGCAGAGAGAGAGGGAGACACAGAATCTGAAACAGGCTCCAGGCTCTGAGCCATCAGCCCAGAGCCTGACGCGGGGCTCGAACCCACGGACCGTGAGATCATGACCTGAGCTGAAGTCGGACGCTTAACCGACTGAGCCACCCAGGCGCCCCATATTTTCTTCTTTAATAGCAGGTATTAAAAGGAATTATTATGTATATATATCTGAGGAACACTTATAGAAACAGTTGTCATACCAATTAGTGCGGGGACACTAGTTTCATCCAGTTTCATGGCGGTATTATACCACTTCAATGCTTCTTTCATGTCTCCTTGTAAAATCATTTGGTATCCAAGTTCTGTAGCAAATTCTGATTGCTCAGGGTTTAAAGCAAGAGCTCGTTGTAGTAATGTCTGAACTTTTCTAAGAATGAGTTGACTTCGTCCACACTAAAAAGAAAAAAAAAATTTAGAAGTCAAACGCTTCTACTCAGGTGACAGGATTATTTTTTTCTAAATATACAAATTATTTGTACTTCATAGAAATAGAATGAAAAAAAAAAGATTTAATAACCAAAGGAGAATAAAACTTCTCCATTTACTACCTGGACAGTGCAGCAAGAAAGAGTTTACATCTAATCAGAACTTAAAATCCTAATGAACACTGCTTTTAAACAACAGCTTCCTGGAAAGTATACTCTAAAGATGCTACACAAGTGTATTTTTTAGGACTGTTTCAAACTGTCTTATCATTGTTTTATGAATTAGACGAGGAAATCATTACTTTAAGGTTACAGATATGTATACGTACATATATATGTAGTTTATCAAATCAAAACCTAGGACAAGGATTTGCTTTCCCCCTAAGGAGAAGGTATACCACCAGGGCAAATATTTCATTTTTTTATTATTTTATTTTATAATATCATCTCGTTTTATTAAAAATTGTGTATATGTGCAGAGAAAGGATAAACACTTTAATGTTAAACATGTTAAGTTCTCCGTGGTGAGATCATTAGTATTTTTACTTTCTTCTTTTTATTTTCTCCTAATTTATTTTTTTAATGGGAAAAAGATAGTATATAAATATTTTTAAATATAACTTATTGTCAAGTTAGCTAACATATGGTGTA